AAGCATATTTATATACAATTAAATCTTAATTACAACATCTTCTAAATATCCAAAATATACAATCTCTTAGTGTTAGGAGGATTCAACATTGATTAAATAAGGAATTGGCGCATTCCATGAACAATGTAAACCACAAAAACATTTCAAGGCATCATAATGTCTTCAAATCATCATATTCTATTAAACTATTTTCATGTGGGTAAAAGAAGCATTTAAGGTTAGCATTGCAAAACGTCACTCAATATAAACATCATAAATCACCATATGAAAATGCAATGATTATACCACTCCGTCATGGTGACATCTCAAGTGCAACAACTAACCTTATTAATCTTAGTTAAATGAGAAAATTGTTCGTGTAAAGAAATAAATTATGTTAAACATTACATAGGTGTATCATCACACCTTAGATAATGTGCCCATTAAACAAGATCAATGTGCCCATTAAACAAGATTTACATATGAGACACTAGCTAGACTCATACGCAACTAAGGCATGTCTAGAATATCATCACATCATCGTACATTTTTCAATATTGTTTAGGTACCTTGGGTTATTATTGGTCATTATGATATAAATCACGTGCAAAATGTCGTTTGTTAGTCATCTGGTCTATGCCCCATACTAATGTGTATTCAAAATTTAGGTTTCAAAGTAACTGTTGATGAGTCCGAATACAAATTGTGGTAATAAATATTTTTGGACATATGCAAAGGTTTTAAAGTCTACATGCATATTAATAGCACTTCAAAACCTAAATGTGATAATGATGAAGACTAGGAATCCATTAATTCTCGTATAAAATTGTGGTTATACTCCATGTGTGATTTAAATTTACTCCAAATCATATTTAGCGATAATTACACAACTATAGACCTATGAAACAAACTTGGTGATTTCTTCCTCAATAACAAGATGTATCGTATGTTTCACAAGAAGATAAATTCTGTAACACAAAGAAAGATTCTAACTCCATCACCGAGTTTTATCACTCACTCAAAAATCTTTCCCATGCACTATTTAAGTTGACTCTTCCTTCGATCACTAAAATTAAGCTTGTCTTGAAAATCTTACAACAATTGCATCCGTCTTACCACAAAATTATAGATGTTGTTACAAACATTATTTATAGACGCGGTAAACATGTTAATTCTATACGTATCTCACGAAGAAACTATTGACTATGTTAATTCTTCATTGGCATCCTACATTACACCATCCCCTAGTGCACTTTACTCCAATAGTATGCAATCATTTCACTTTTACTCCAGTATTATATAAACGAGGAGGTAAAAAAAAACAGGTCAAATAAAATAACTAATAATGGTAGAAGTGCTTCCCCCCGGGGGGGGGGGGGGGGGGGGTAATTCTAGTGTTTCTACACTTAATAAACCTGTTGCATGTCAATCTTCATAACCATATGCGACCTTAAGACCTTAAACAAATCCTTGGATGCCTACGAACTACATCAATAGCTTCCTGCTACCATCAATCTCATTCGTAACCCCTACAATTTATGGATTTCCTTATCAACCTTTTACGGATAGGTTTCGACCATCAACAATTTCACGCCCATCTTTTTCAGATCAACAACAACCTACAACACATTTTGCCTCATCTTCAGCTTCTTTTCAACAGTTTCCTTACATATCAACTACAAATCAACATACTAATACCAACTATGGTGGTTAAGCAAACCTTTAAAAGTGGATAGTTCACTCATCTCACTTCCATCTTTCAATCCATGTCAGTTCAGCAACCAATAGTCCCTAAATATATACTACATGGATTCCAAAGCAAGTCCATAATTGATTTGCAACCAATGTAACATTCTTTCCCTTACACCTTGCAATTCAAAATCTGTCATGGTTGGTAGTGGTGCTTTACTTCCTGTCATCTTTACTGTCAACTCTTTTTCTCCTTATTCCAACAATAATTTATTTTTTAAAAAACATTTTAATTTCGAACAACATGGTTAAAAATTCATTTTACGTTTGTCATTTATTGACAAAATTTTGTATGTTGAATTTGATCATTTTTTTTTTTTTGGTCAAGGATATTAACACAAGTATTGTTCTCCAACGATGTGATAGTGTTGGTGACGTGTACCATGTGCTCCCTTATGCATCTTGTGAATGCTTTAGATGTTGTGTCCCCTCATACATTATCGACGAGTCAGTCATCCAGGATTAACCATTTTTCATTTTCTTATGTCTCGCAAGTTTATTATTTGTTCTTTAAATAAGTTGTCAATTTGCCATGTTTATCAACTTGGTATTTATTCCTTTTTAGATGTTTTGTCATCTCATACTGTCATTTATTCTTCTTTTTCTTGCACTATATGCTTTTTTGAACTTATTCACTCAAATTTATGGACTTCCTCAATTTCTAGTTTAAGTGGTAATTATAAGTATCTTGATGGTTTTTCTCATTTTTGTTAGTGTTTCCCTTACGTTCAATGTATAATATTTGTTTTATGTATTTTGCAACTTTTGAACTTATTAAAAAAATAAATTTAAAACCGACATTAAAATGGTTCAATGCGACAATGGTCATGAATTTAATAAACAATCCTTGTTGATTTGTTTTGTTAGTTGCAGGATCAAAAACATTCTTCGTATTCAACTTCGTCAAGCTTCTTTTCCACCATAATTTTGAGTTGAGTAGTCATGGCTATTGTACACATACTAAACCTCCTTCTCATATCAACTCTTGTGTTCAAAACATCCTTTGAATTTTTTGGCTCTCTCCCTTTCTTATACACTTAAGGGTGTCTGGATGGCTTTGTTATCTTAACAATGCATCTCATGCTCCTCACAAACTAGCCCCTCGATCCACAAATAGTTTGTAGCTTGGCCATGCATTTGATCACTATGGATACCAAGGCTTGGATCTTATAACGATCCTCATCTCATCTCCATCCCCGACTCCTATAATATTCATGGGTTTCGAGCCAATCCAAGATCAACCATTGGGCAACGAAAACAACAAACAATTATTATCTAAGACTCGAAACATCTAGATCTAACTCAACTAATCTATGCAACTCATTAGGGCACAATAGAATGGAATCATACTTTTGATTTCTTTGTGGGTTTCTTCTTTTAACGAGCCAAATGAATGGATTAGAGGACCTAACGTAGAGTTCCTCTTCTAAAATTACACCCAAGAAACAAGACACAAGCAAATATAAGCAACCCTCGAACTGTGAGCTTCAAATAGAAACATAATCTCGATTCTATGGTCGACCACGACGTGTAAACTATCTGCCACAACGTGTGAACCACAATTCATGATTCTTTAGGGTTTTTGAGGATTCCAAACTTTTGAGACTAAGAGGTATATTTCACAAGTATCAAAACCGAATTTGGAGCCCTCTATTTATAGGGAGGTGATTTGAAATCCTAGAGTCAAGTACCAAATATAATAGTAATTATCTATGGTATTCAAATCATTATGAAATATTTCATAATCCTTTATTTACAATTAATTAATTATTTTGTTCTTACGTGTATCCCAAAAGGATACTGCTATTTATAGTAATATTATTGAGCTTGTTATGACTATGGGCACTTATCTCCAATAGCTCCCACTTACACATAGGGATCAACAATTGACCAGTCATAATACTTACTAGGAACAACAATGAGTGGCTATCCAATGCAACTACTGTACATATAACAACATTGCTATAAACAACCCTAAGACTAATAACTTCAAATTCATTTGATCTTCATGATATCTTATTATCAACTAGTGAGATGGATCTAGGGTCAATCTCATGGTTCAAGATTATGTTTCCCGACACCGACTTGTGGTGACTTTCAGACTAATTGTTAAACCTAATCTACTCAGTCTCAGCTTGTCCAAGCATTTGTTGTCAACACCTAATCAACGAGGGGCCCAAATATATTTAATTCTATACTTATGGCAGAAGGATCAAATAAATTTTTTGATAGGTCATAATATAGTGGTTTGGGCTAGGCATCTATCTTGTAAAGGTCTTGTTTGGGTCTTGGTGTTAGTTATGGTTGTTGTAATCTTTGTATGGCTGTATGTGACCGTACACCCTGTGTGCAGCCACACACGTGTGTGTGGCTGTACACCCGTATGCTGATGGGGTGATATAAATAGTAGGTGTATGTGTTAGTGTCAGGTGACGTATGTGTGTGTTTCCCAAGGTGTATTTGACGTTTATGTTATATAAATGTGTGCATGCTTGGTTTAATT